GTATCCAGCTACTTTACTGAATTTGGTTATTAAGTCTAGAAGACTTTTGGTGGAGTTCTTGGGGTCTTCTATATAAAGTATCATGTCATCTGCAAGACAATTTGACTTCTTCATTTCCTATCTTTATTCCTTTTATTTCTTTTTCTTGTCTAACTGCTGTGGCTAATGTTTCCAAAACTATACTGAACAGTGATACAGGGCTTATAAAATGGCCCCCATAAGAAAATTTTCTACCGGTAAGACAAACATGGAAAAAATTTTAAATTTTTGACATAATAAATGCAATGAAGGAGAAAAAAACTTTTATGTTCTTTAAAAAAACTTTTATTCTTACTTTCAAAGAATTTAAAGGTATACAAATAAAATCTGACAACACTTTTAGATTTAGAATTGTAAACATAATTTTACAGCAGAGAGAAAGCATATATTTATTTTAGTAAATGTATATATTCAATCATATATAAAGATATAAATGTACAATTCCAAAATATTCCAAAAATATAACCTAATAATGGAAATAATTATCAGAAATACAGAAATATACAGTATGTTTTAGAGAAAACTGATAGTAAAAATATATACAAAAAGCCACATGTAAACAATTTTAAAGTATTGCTTAAATCTCTGTGGATCTTGCATTTATGAAATCATATTTTCTTAGATTTAAAAATCACATAGAAATGTTCTGTAATCATTAACAAATACATACTTTTCTGTTCTTCATATAATAGAGGGAAAGTGAAGGGATGGAAAGTCATTTTCTTAAAATCACAATAAATATTTTTAAACTGTGACTGAACTTTAGATCATTTCCCAGCACCACAGATCCTAAATTTATCTTTATATAAAAAGTGCCAGAAACAAATTACCAATGGAACACAAACACACACACACACACACACACACACACACACACACAAGTGCCTATGTATCCACAACTTCATCCACATTCTGATACCATAGAGGAGATACATTATTGAAATAAAAAACATTTCAGGGTACTTTGATCAAATTGAGTAAATCATTAAGGTATTCTTATAGAAGAACTTCTGGCTTCATTAGACTACTTCTGAAAATAGAGCTATGTTCTAATTCCTCAATAATGTCTTCACTGCAACGCAGGAGTAGTTTTTTGAGTTGATTACTTTAATCAACATTTAGCTTTGATGCTCTCATCAAGCAGGTATACCCCCAAATGTCACAGTAAACAGAGTTACAGTAAACAGATTGTCATTATGACCCTAGGTCCCAGACTCGGGAAGATTTCAAGTCTCAGACTTGAAAGGCCGCATCAGGCCTTTCAATGTGAAATATAAACTTACTCTTGAGAGTTACAGATTTCACAGTGAAGCTATATGCTGTTGCATACACTAGTGTTTGAAGTTTGCTTTCCAGAAATGCAGAAGCCACAAGCACCGTTCTTGTAGGAAGTTAAAGATAGTTGTTCTTGATTTGGGTGAAAGAAAAGTCTGGAAAATAAAATATACCCTAATTACATATCAAAGAAGTGTATTGAAATGAGAGAAATTATTAGACTGGGGCGGGGTGGGGGCTCACAAGAAAGCTAGAATTCTTTCATTGTTGAACCCCTTGCAACTTTGTTGGTTGAGACGCACAGAGTCTGACAAATTTCCTAGTGGAACCAGACTCTTGGGAAGGAATCAGAGTGTATTTATTTGTGCCTCATTCCAAAATATCATCTGTAATTGCTTGTTTTTCTAAATATCTCTCTCACCATCAGATACTTGCAATTGGGAAACAGTCACTAGTTCTCAGGAAGTTCTAGGGATGCTGTGAAAATGGCAGGGTGATGGAGGCTGAGTGTGAATACTGGCACGGCCTCCTACAAGGAGCATGCTGGGAACGCCTGCAAGGAGCATGCTGGGAATGCCCGCACTCCGCATCAGGTCAGGTTGGGGGGGTTTCTGAAGCAGACATGTGGTCAGCTTTGATAGTATTCATTCACTTAGGAGAAAATATCTACATTCACACACTCATCATTTCACAAAGGGAATTATTTCTCAGGACAAGGCTAATGTGACATATTAGGCCTAGGTTAATTGAAAGAAAATAATTCAGTGGTAATTAAATAAGCTGGTATATGGGTATGGGAAGGCTTGTGAGGAGAACACAAGAACTCTATTGTCAGAAAAGTACCACCTGGCATACTGCAGTGTAAAAGTATTATGTTGGATTTAATCCATGCCGAATATGTGCTGCCTTCCATTGCATGCACCGTGTAGCATAAGCCAAGACCACCGAGCCAAATACAGGCCACCACCCATTTTTATAAAGTTTTACTGGGACACAGTGCTGCTAAGCAGAATGAGGCTTTCCAAAGAAATTCATGCTCTGACTCCAGAACTTGTGAATAGGGGACTTTACATGGCAAAGGGCATTTTGCAGATGCACCTGAAGATCTTAAGATGGGGAGACTCCTCTGGGTAGTAACTGCTGGAGCCATGGGACACACTCAGGAGGGGAGACCAGGGGCACGAGGGTCTCACTCAGCTGGCTGTTGCTGGCTTCAGATGGAGGATGGAGGAGAATCGCCAGCCAAGGGACACGGGCAAGCTCTAAAAGCTGGGTTTGGCCCCCGGCTGACAGCAGCAATGAAACAGGGACCTCAGGCTGAAATGCATAAAGAACTAAGTATTCTCACAGAAACTTTACTTTTAGCCTAGGAAGAGCCATGGCAGACTTCTCATCTACCGAAATGAAGGAATAAATTTGTTTTTGACCCAGAAAGTTTTAGTAATGGGTTATGGCAACAACAGAAAGCAGACACAGTAGCCCATGCATTCACACTGAGCTATATCTCCAGCCCTTATTATTAACTTTATTTTGAGACAGGGTCTTGCTAAGTTGCCCAAGCTGGGTTCAAACATGCAATCCTCCTGCCTCAGCCTCCCAGAGTGCTGGATTCCAGGCATGCAGTACCACACCTGGCTCTGTCCATTCATTTTTGATTGTCCATGGCTGCTTTCATTTTACAAGGCAGCCTTCGTGGATGTGACAGAGACTCTATGGCCCACAGAGCCTAAAATCTTTGGCGCCAGGCTCCGGGCTAAGTATTTGGTATTCATATTGATCTTCTGTGATTGATACTATTTTTGTCCCCATTTTGCAGATGGCAAATGGAGGCAGAGAGGTTCAGTAGCTTCTCAAGGTTGCTCACTGAGTCAGCGGGGAGTGAGAATTCGAACCTGAGTCTGGCTGGCTTCTGTGCTCAAGCTCACCCCTTGGCCCATCTTGTGGATGCTCACCTGAGGGTCTCATCTAGGGCAGAAGGCTACGGGCAGCTCCCGGCTGGGCACCAGGATCCCCAGGTGCAGCATGTGGACAGGCTCGCTGTCTGTGGCCACGATGTGGAATCGGCGGATGATCTGGAAGACACGCACACAGAAGAAGGGTCACCTCTTTGTCCTCCCGCCCTGCAGAACCGCACAGAGCAGAACCGCAAAGCCGGCAAGGCCTTTACCCAGCAGAGGGCCAAGTGGAGCTGGAGCTCGGCTAATGGGCGACCGATGCACATTCTTTTCCCAACCCCAAATGGAAGGTGTGCAAAGGGATTGATCTTTTTCTTCGTTTGAAGCCAACGTTCAGGTCTAAACTGATCAGAATCTTCAAAATTGTCTTCATCAGACCCCAGTACGTAGGTATTTAGCATCAACACTGTCTAAAAAACACATAGAAATGCATGACATTTAAAATAACCAGAAGAGAACATTTGAATGGCAAAATCTATAAAGGTGATCATCTTACAAAAGTAAAAACAACTCACAAATTTATAATGATGATTGTATTGAGTGCTTAAAATGTGCCAGGTAACAAACAGGCCTAGCATTTAGAACTTTGGATTTTATTTTCACAACACCCTCCTGGGGAAGATTCTATTATTCACCCCATCTCACAGATGGGGAAGTTGAGGCTTACAGACATTACATAACTCACTCAAGACCACACAGGTAAAAGGGTACTGAATTCAGGTCTCTATCTCTACAGCCATTGTTCTTAATTCTGTTTTAAGAAATATGTCATTATCTTTTCTGTAGATTTCCAAGACAAATGCTCCCCCAGTAAAAAGGATCAGCCATATCTGGTGAACATTTGGAAAGTGCACCCTTCAAAGTCTCGTGAGGTAGAGAATAGACAACTTCTACTCACCCCTTTGGGTAAAGCATATTCACTAAGAACTGTTGCCTTATCCAGAGTCCGAGTTGTGAACGGCACACTTGGGGTGAGCCTGAAAAACAAAATCAGTTGGAAAGGTGGCTGCAGACCAAGTTCTGTCTGAAACGCCAATGGGAACACAGATTGGGTTCAATAAGTAAGTGGTGCATGGTGGCAGAGTCAGAGAGGGGACACGGCTGCCAACTCTCCACAAAGAAGAGTCCCTGTTGCTATCTTCCCCGTAGCTATATCTCTTATTCCCTTTTCTTATCTATCACATTGGCTAAATCCCCAGCCCAAGGCTGATTACAGTAATAGTTGATAATAGTGCTTTTCTTCTTTTCCTGTTTCACCCTGAACCTGTTTGGTCCGCGTTTCTCCAAGTACTCTTCATGAAGTTAACACTATTACCTTATAATCCTAAGAGGCGAGTTTTGTTTTTCAGAAAGGGTATATAAAGAATTTTCAAAAGATGTTTTATACCCAAGGCTCAAATAAAGACATCTCTATGTCTTCTTATATAAGGAGATGGTTCTCTTGCTGAGCTTTTATCTCCTGTCCTACAATCCTGCTCTGATCTTCATAGTTACTAAGAGTATCCATTAGAATAGCAGCGATATTGGTTAAGAGGAGAAGGCCCTGATTTCCCAAGATTTGACAGAGTTTATCTAAAAGATTTAGGAAATGAGTGATAGAAATAAATATGATCTGAAGGTCTTGTGTCTATAATTGACTAGGGGAATTGTCTATGCTCTATTCATATTGGCTTAGACATAAATTCTCACCTCATGGATTCCTTTAGACAAGCCTTTAAATATGGCATTTTCTTCAAATCCTCTGCCCTTGGCATCTGATTCTCAGGCAATACACTTTGAATTTCATTAAGAAGTTTTTGTTGCACTTGAGGATTACGGGACAAATTGTAGAGAATCCACATTAAGCTGTTTGCTGTCTGAAAACCAAGCAGACACAAACTTGAATTTTAGCAAATAAAATGGCTTCAGCATGATCAGCCAGACCGGAAGTCATGGCTCCCAGCTTGCTCTGCGAACCTAACAGTGACATTTCTCATGTGTTGTTATTTGCTGTGCCTTAAACAAAAACAATATCTGAAGTCAGACTTAGGCCAAACGTATAAAGTCTGGATAACTTATTTACCAGGTAAATCAAAATAGAATTTTAAAAATAATCAGCTGCATTCGGAGATATGAAAAATATAGTTTGACACAACTACTGCTGACACAGAGACTAGCAGACCACCTGTGCCATTTCCAGGGTGTGATAATGTTTTATTGTCGTGTACCACTGTGGGAAACTCCGTGAAGGATCCCTCTCTATCTTTTTCTTCGGATTAAATGTGAGACTACGATGATCTTAAAATTTTAAAAAGTTTAATTAAAAGCAGTTTCATGAGAAACTGAGAAAAGAGAGCAATAAAGATCCTTGGTGTGTTGCTGACCAAGACTTACTTTTAAAAAGTTTTCTTGCAGCCCAAGACACAAGGAGCTGCATTTCTGGAGTTCAAAAGTTCTTTTGGTCACACCCTAAAAGCTTAGCACAAAACTGAGAAGGTGCATCAGGGCCCCAGACACAAGGAAGAGCCCTGGCAGGAGGAGGCCAACACCGGAAGAAGAAATTCTAGCACTCAGTGGAGGATTTTAAGGAACTGGCTGCAGTTTCTGACCGTGTTAATGGATGCCCTTTATTGACTTTTCAAAGGCAATGAGAAGGAAAAAAAATAAGGGTGAAGCCAGCCATCTTTGAGCTGCATCACATTCTCTGTCAGTAGCTGTACGTATTTGTTTTTAGGCCGTTGCTAACGTCAGCTAAATATTCTGCTGCAAATGGTCATCAACTCCTCCCTCTGCAGACATGAAGATGCTGTTTAAGTGGCACGTGCCACTCTTGTGAAAGAGCAGAGTGCAAGACAATTCAGAGCCAATGATTATTTATTATTTTTGGAAGACAATGTCTCCAAAGCAGGGTTCTTTATGTCAGAGGACTGTGTGGCCTCAGCTGCATATGAACTGTGGATGGCATTATTGTAAGAGTCCCATTTACCAAACAGGAAGAGGGTGTAGCCACCAAATTAGAGACACTTTCCAATTTCTCTGATTCTCCAAATGTGACTTTCAGAATAGCAATGACTAAAAAATAGAAAAGGATGAAGTGTATATCCAAATCAGTGAGTCCCTGGCCACAGTACTAAACAAAGATTCCACAAGGTGGAGAACTACAGCTTCCACCACAGCCCTGTTAGATGCTGGGACCTCATAGGACAGCTGCTGGGCCACACTATCCCGGCCTGACCCCCAGGGAGGAGACTCAGCTCCTCATCTGGCCTCCCGCTTCTATCCTTCCTCGCTAAGTTCATTCTCCACTCACCAGCCAGAATCCAGTTGTCAAAACACAAGTTGATCAGGAGTTTCTCTTGCTCAAAATGTTCCAAGAGCCTCCCACAAGAGGTGTGACAAAACCCGAATTCCTTATTAAGTCTCAAAAGGCCCTGGCTAACCTGGCCCATTCACTCCAGTAATTGGAATTCTGATTATTGTTTCTAGTTCTTGCTCCTCTCTCTTTCTGCCTCAGGCCCTTTGCATGTGTGCTTTCCTCTACCTCGGGTGGTCTTCCATCAGGCTTTCTCAATGCCAGCTCTATCTTATCGTTCCAGAGTCACCACTAGCATTGCTTTTTTAGGGAGGGACCCTTCCCCACCCCCCATTCCATCTCTGTGTTACATACCCTCCAAAGGACATGCCACTTTCTGAAATGATTATATCTATTTGTGTACATGTCTTTCACATCATGCAAGTTTCATGAGGGGATGACTTTGTCTCTGGCTTGTGGAGGTTTCCTGACAACTTAGAAGGGTCCTGGATGCATAGTAACTACTCAATGTTTCCCAATTTCTTTCTTGTATCCAATAAGTATGTACTGGTTGTCTACTCCTTGTGCTAAATATAGCAGTGAGCAAACCGAAGTCACTGCACTCCCAGAGCTCAAATGGAGGCTGAAATAAGGAAGAAGAGGTGAAACTTCACTTCCATCACTCTGAGGAACCTCGCAGGGTCTGTGATGCAATAGGAAGGTCAGCCAGCTAGGATAACTTTCTGCCTTTCCCAGTCTCCTGGAGCAAGAGGGGACTGAAAAGGATGCTGTCCCCATGATACAGAAAACTCTACTTTTTCTCTAGGCAAGGCACTCTCTGAAAGGGGAACCTGTGGCAAGAAAATGAACTGGTTTACATGCTGCACAGAGGCTTTAAGATGTGTGAGATGTTGTGCCAGTGAGCAATAGTAATATACAACACTCCTGTGATAACTCAAAGAAATGAATGAAATGAACAATGAAACCTGAATGTCCATACTGGTATTTGTGCCTGGAATCGCACTGCATGGGATATCTACTGATCAACCACGTTTGAGACAAAATTTTCGGATTTAAAATTAGCTGTTTCATTTCAGGGAACATCAAGTTATTTCAAGCTCATTATATTTATAATTTTAAGCAGGAAAAATATTGACCTGGAAGATGGAATTTCAATATTTTTATAGTAAATATCACGAGCCACAGGTAGGCATTTTGGGGATAACATGTGCAATAGCCTAAAATATATCCAATTTTTAAAAATGTAAATCATTTTGCTAAGACACGGAACTTTCCTGCTTCCAAATTCCTGCAGTAGTGTGCACAGTTGTCAGGACACTGGTTGGATTCTATTGTGGCTTTCCCACACTGGGGCACACGATGTCTCCTACCTTATAGGTAGGCACGTAGGGAATTTTTTTTTTTGTTACTGGGAATCGAACTCAGGACCTTGAGCTTGTCAGGCAGGCATGGTGCCACTGAGCTACACCCCCGGCCCTCCTACCTTATGGGTAAGCTCAAGATGCTGTGCGTTGTGCTTCCAGCCTGAGACTTTTCAGTTTTCACTACACTAGTGCTCACTGAATCCAGGTGAATGATGACTTGAACTGCATCAGGAAGAACACTGCCCAGTCCGTGTATTTACAAGCGAATCTCCACCCACCCTTACCGTTTCTGTTGCACCCAGCTGGATCTCCGTGACGGCAGCATACAATTCTTTTCTAGAAAGCTGACTGTGGTCATAAATATCACCAAGGAAATCTGTACTAGGCTGCTGAGAACGTTTCTCTAACCGGCTATTGATACAAGACTTGACTGTTAGAGAAAAAAAGACAGGAAGTTGATTGAAAATTAAGAGAAAGAAAAGAACACAAATCAGACACAAATCTGTCTTGCAATATCTAAAGAATCTTTTCAGGAACACTGATACTTTGCTAAATAAGCTAATAAAGACTTTTTGTTCTGCTGGTGAGGATTTGCCCATGCCCACATGGACGAGGCTTCTCAAGATCTCCTTAATATGCAGATTCTGAGTCAGGGGTTGGAGCCCGGAAGTTTGTATTTCTAACAAGTCCCCCAGTGGTGCAGATGATGTGGGTCTGGGGTCATATTTTGAATAGTAAGAGCTGAGTTTGGGACAGATCAGCATGAGAGGAAGTGGAGACTGGGTTCCCATTCAGAATCAGAACTTACTGAACACACACCACTCAACTTGCACAGGCATATATCCATGTACAGTTAAAGTGCTCATGCATATTGACAATGACACAAATTCTAGCATTTATAAAGCACATTCTAAGCGCATGTCTCCCTCACTTTAACCCACAGTTTTAACTGCCAGACTTAAGAATAATGGTGGTGGTGATGGTAACGGTGAACACATATGGTACGGCAGTCAGCACTTGAGCCCTGAAGCCCTTCCACCTGGCTTCCATCCTTGGCATCACCACCTGCCTGACAGAGTAGCCACTGAGCAACAGAATAGTGATGGCCAGTGAGGCAAGGATAGCCTGCCTGGGGCTGGCATTTTTGATCTCTAACTTTCAAGGCTGATTATTTTCTTGTTAGGTCTTATTTTCCAGGAAACTGGGTAGCAGAAATAGCTCTAACCACTGAGATACTGTGGCAGGTCAAGCGGTTTGTATTTTCTAAAAGCAGTTGGATGAGGTAGGTGGTATTATTATTATTCATCCAAGACAAGGAAACTAAAGATGCAATGGAGGTTGCACATTTGGCCAAACCACCATGCACAGAGCAGCCAGGAGACTCTGACTCCCAAGGGCTTGTTTTGACTACTTTTATAGGGCTGGGAATGTAGAAGGCTCACCTAGCATGTGTGAGGCCCCAGGTTCTATCCCCAGTACCCTAAAAATTCTCATTTATCATTTTCATTTCCCAAAGAAGACTGCAGAAATCTACCTCCTGCATTTCCTTAGAATTAGTCTATGCAAAGCCCAAACAAGCTAGAGGGAGCAACTCAATGGTAAGTTCAAAGGTGTTAGACCAACAAGCTCCTTCCCAATCGGCCCCAGCTGCCCAGGCAAGGCAGCTGATCGAGTCAGCCAGTGGTACCTGACTTGAAAATGGTGTCCCAGGCCAGAGTGTGCATCTGCCAGACCCTGGTGTTGAGGCTCTTGTGCAGCTCGACTGGGGTGACCATCATCTTCCCAAAGGTGCTCATCATCTGCGAGAAACACAAATGCCTTCTCATGCGCAACTCTGTCAAAGGCAATGAGCATCTTGCAGGAGGAGCTTCCTAAACCACAGCTCCCGAAGGCTGGAGTCAAAGGACTCCTGGCCCCTCCTAGCAGGTCCTGGGAGCAAAGCCCTCCTCCTCCTCCTCCTCCTCCCTCAGTGGAATGCTGAAAGTCATCTGGACATGCTTCATAAAATGTGTTAGGACTTAGGAGTTCACTATCAACAAAAAAGGCGGGCTATGACTTTCATATTCATTTCAATTTCTAATAATTTTCCAATCCCAGGGTTTCTCAAATCAATTTCGGTGTTCATCATATCCACCTAAACTGTTCCAATATTTAAAAATTGAAAAACTTCAGATACTTGAAAAATATTTTTCATCAACTGACTCTTAATAGCAACATTTAAAATAGGCACCAAATATAATGTTTTATTAAAATATCCTTGCCTAACAAAGACACAATGGAATCAACTGGCTTTATGATATGTACAAACATGCACATATACAAGTATACACATCAAAATGAATGAATGAGCTATTGAGATAAAATATGTGTGTATACAACTTCTTGGAAGACACATGATGCAGGCTTATTAAGATGCATAAAGCAACCTCAGGAGAACTGATAGCTAAAGGGGTGCTTACTGTTTTGATGGCTGTGATGAAGCTCAGAGCCTCCTCTCCTATGTTCTTCTGAAGGAGCCCAAATCTCTTCTCATATAAGATGAGGCAGATACCTGTTATTTAAGATAATTGTCACTGTTACACAATTGCAACAACACTGGAACCTATGATTAACTGGCTATTAAAGACTTGCTTTTGGGTCTTGTAAAAATGTGGTCTTTTCTAAGAAAGAAAAAAAGTGAAATCCAAGAACATCAAGGAAAGGCAAGCAATCTGAAAGAAAGGGGCATGCACACTCTCTTCCCTTTCTAGAAATTATTTTCAGGTGCTGTGACCTATCCCTAGGAACCTTCTGGTCAGAGGTACACTGCCCTTGGTCATGTCCACCACACAAAAATCTAGGTCAAAGGTGTGGTTGGATCAGAGCTCCGCCCCGCCTTTAGCTCAGTTGTGTTGGAGTCGTGAGTTGCATTCTGTTGCCTTCCGTGACCCAGGGGAAGCCGTCTGGAGAGGAAGAGACAGGAGAATTGTGCACTGACCACCCACTACTCGCCAGGTAATGGCTTTGTGCTTTACGGATGTTTTCTCCTGTATATTCATTTTATTTAGGCAAAGCTTTTTAAAAAATAAAATTATCAACTTTTATTTTAAAACCTTTTTACCTACAGAAAAGTTGAAAGAACAGTAAAATAAATACCTGTGTCCTTTGAACTCAAGTGCAGTAATCATTAATGTTTTGCTACAGGTACTTGCTCTTTGGATATATGTGTACAGATACGTATGCATGTGAAACCAATGCAATGCATAATTTCCAGCCCTCACACACTTCCTAAGTAAATAACTTAGCAGTAAAGTCCTAAGATGAAAGACAGTCTCCTCTACAACCATAATGTCTCTAACACTCCTGAGAATATTACCCATTTCATGGTACATCTACTACATTTAAAAATTTCCCTGGTTGTCTTAAAAGTTATCTTCTGTAACCACTTTCTGTTTTGATCCAGGATCACTACAAGCACTGTTTGATAGGTGGATAATTAGCTCTCAATTTACAAGCTAGGATCCTGGGTGAAGAGGTGAAGGCCTAATCTAAAGTTAGAAAGTGAGAAGCAAAAGTCAATAAACCTAGTCAGGGCAGCTCTGTGGCTTTTCTGACTACATCTGTATTTCCCAAACTCCACTCATCCTGTTCAGCCTTTTGAGGTTGCCCACGTTTTTATTCCACAATGTGAAGAATGGATACCACCGGGAGTGTATGCAATAGCTCCAGGTGGTCTGTGGGCTTTTTTATATATATATTTTTAAAAATTACTTATATTCACAGTAATCACCACCACTTATGGTGGTGATTTGAATTTATGGAAATGTTATAAGTTTTCTCTCAAGGTAGAACAATAATTTAAAATGCTTCTAATATACAGTGGTAGGCAGTCACAAAAAATACTATGAAGTATATATACACTTATAAAATTTGCAAAATGCCTGTTTACCTGATTATTGTTTTTATAAAGCATATTAAAATTAAGATAATACTTTCTTGCTTATGAATACGTAGGTTTAATAGAAAATTGGCTCCCACTGTAAAACTTATCCAAAAGCACCTTTTTCCCCTTAAATAATGGATTACAGTGCTATAGAAGCAGGTGAGCTGGTCCATCTGTAGTTCAGCTGTTTTAAAACCACTGAGTACAGGTAGAATCAAACCAAGAGTGCTGGTTTTCCATTTGTAGTGAATTTTGGGGTGCACATTGCAAACTGAATCCACAAGATTTCCCATAGTGCAATGCAGCATCGTTTCTACATGGATCTCTCCTGTAACATCTTGCTTTTGCAGAGTTTGTCATTGGCGTCACATGTGGCAGACACTGCTGACAGTCTACCCAATGTTCATTCTTCCCCATTCCTTCCATAAGAGAGCCCAGATTTTATTTAGAGTGTCCGTGTATCCATCCTCATGAAAGAGATCAAGATTGATTTAGGACTTTGATGACAATTCCAGTCCCCAATTCCCAGCCTTCCTTAGAGCAGCCAGAGGACCCAATTTGGGGCAGACACAGAGGAGAAATGCTCCTTTTGCACTCACTGTGCCTGGGACTGGGCGGTTGGATTATTTCCTCCTTCCCCCTCTCATCTCTGCCTGGAGTGCAGAGGCGAGATCGGGAGGGCAGCTCTCATTTTGGCACTGGTTCATAAACTAAGATGGACCAGAAAAGGCTGGAAAGAGCCCCCCTCCCTTGATCACCAAAGCCCACGCAGCTGTGGCCTGCCTTCCTCGAGGGTTCCCACAATGCTGGGCGGCAGGTATTTTTGGTACTGGGGATCGAACTCGGGTCCTTGTGCTTGCAAGGCAGGCGGAGGAATCAAGCTAAATCCCCAGCCCCCCGGGCGGCAGTTTTTAAACCATTGCAGTCACATTTTTCTTTGACTGGCAACTAAATGCCTTTTATCTTTCTTAGTTTGAGTACTTCCAGTGGACAATTTCCAAAGCATACACTTCTTTTCTCCTTTGTAATCATTCCTTTCATTTACTCCTCCTTCTGTGGATTTCTTACTTGCATGGGACTTTCTATCTTCACTTTAAGTAAGGCTGATGATAGAAGAGACCATACAAAACCTTCTCTGGGGCAGCCCTCTGCAACCTCTCTCCGTTAGCAGCCACAGTGACCCAGCTATTCTGACCACAGCATCCCCTGCTAAACATATCCACCAAAGCTCCCCACTACTCCAGGCTTAAATCCAAAGTCCTGTCTCCAGCTTATAGGGCTTTCTAGGAGCTGACTACAGGGCTCTTCCCATCCCCATAATCCTTTTACAGGACGTGGCCCTCCAATCCAGGGCTTCCTTCTGTTACTTCTCACTCCTGGAGCATTCCTCCTTGCTTTGCTTTTCCCTGGCAACTCATTGTTGTATCTCTAGTATGCAGCACTGTGCCTGGCATCAAACAGGTGTTCAGTAAGTATTTATTGAATGACTTCATAAACAATCCTAGTGCAAAGCACAACTTAAGTACCTAAAAGAAGCATGGAAACAATGTATGTGGCCTTTTCTTAGTTGGCAACAGTGTGTATCACACTGGAAAACTGTCAAAAGAGTTGCACTTTATCCCCCAAACCACTTGCAAAATGAAGTGCAACTTACTTTCAAATGACCATTTGTTCAGTTCCTTGTACAAGTCTTCAATGTGGCCTCTTTCATCTCGGAGCTCATCTAGTCTAACCATAAAGTCAGCCAAGACCTTAAAAGAAAGCAGCCATAGAAGATACATTTTAACTTTAGGAAAGGAAGACAAAAGTTTCAAGCTCAGTAAGCCTGACTGAAGGGTTTGCTACATTGTATATTCACTGCCCTGAATGTTACTCATTGGGAAATAGCACTAATTATACATTCTCCTTGGGAAGCCACCTTATCCCCTCAAGACCTTGTCCTGAGTGGTTTCCTGAGCTCTTCCTGCAGCCACTGTGAGGTTTAAGTTTCAGCTTTTGATCTAAAAGTGATTCTGGCATTTTAAGGAAAGGAAAACATTTCTGTGGATCAGAACAGGGGAATAAACCACAAGGAAGGAATCAGCCAAGTTGACATAGCAGGTGGAGGACAATGACACTGTCACTATCCTGAGGTTTGCACTTCTATTTCTATTCTTGCTGGGTGAAAACACAGCATTTTGTTGGATGGTTGTTTTTGTTGAGTATGTTGCACTTGGAGCCAGACTTGCAAATTCTGGATGTAACTTGATCACTAAATAGCTCTGTGATCTTGACTAGTCACCTAAGTCCTTAGATGACCAAGTTTTAGATGACTAATGCCTCACATTTAGTGAGGTCAAAAAAGGACTGTGCACTGCACAAGGTGTAATATCTTAGCTGGTCCACACAGCCAACCCATAAGGTAGTAGATACTGCCCTAGTTCCGTTTTCCCACATAAGAGATGAGAAAATGAGGCTTAGAGAGGCTACATAAGTATTCCCTGGAAACACAGTTAACTTGCCATGCTGGACCCTAAAACAGGGTGTGTGTGTGTGTGTGGGTACAAAGCCTGCACATGTAACCAATGCGCAGGTTTAATCTGCTCACATAGTGCATTAAGAAGTACTTTGAATTTGTTACTTAAAAATCAAGAGATTTCACATGACATATGGATTTACCACTTCTTATCAAAGTAATAATAATGAGATTATTATAAGGTAACAATGGCTGTGCATATCCACATAGCAGTAGTTTTCTGGGTATGGGGCAGCTGTCCCCTCAAGGAAGGGCACACACAGTTCTGTTTTCTAAAGTCTTTACTGTGTTTGTCTTGCTATTTTTGTATTAATTATGTGGCCCTTAGAAGCTTCTAAGTTTGTAATCTCGCATCTATATGCACGGATCTGGGTCTGAAACCAGTTCAAAATAAACATCTTAATAGAAAGAGTAAAATGAGATTACGATATGCTTAAAACTCTCTTAGGCCAAAGAATACTCTCCAAATACTTTTCCATGGCACAAACTTTGCAGAGATCTCTCTGTCGACAATCATTTCAGAAAAACCCTCAGCTCAGCTACACTGAACACTGATCCTCTGAACACATCACACCATTTCAGGCCTCTGTATATTTAGCCTATTATCCTGTCTGCTCAAACGCTTCTCTCCACCTTGTCTTGTAGACCCCTGTGTATCCCGCAAAACCCAGCTCAAATGTCAGTACCTAAGATAAGAACTTTACAAGCATCGTCTTACATCTGATCTTGGGATAAGAGCTATAGTCTCATTTTAAGATTGAAAAATCAAGGCTTAGGAAAGTCAAGTGGATCAAGCTCTTAGATAGTGGGTGGAAGGCTGGGTATCAAATCCAAAACTGCAAAATAATAAAGTCTGTGTTCATAACTGTTCCTTCTTTACAATGTTACTTTAACAGAGATCAGTGGAGACAAAAATCGGGGTTTTGAGGAAGATGGATATAGAGTGACACAGAGACAATGAGGAGACCCCTGAATCATCCCCATTATATGGTTTTCCTTCTACACCTTAAAGGTGGAACTTGAAGGGTCCTCGAGAGACCCAGGAAAGCTGGCCCCAGTCTACAGACCTCATTGATTTTGCTGTCCAGCTTCATAATTTCCACTGGTTTCATTAATTTCTTTTGAAAAACTCTCCGGACCCTCTGCCAGTCTTCGCCTTCCCTGGAGAGAGAGAAGGAGGATTGTATTAAGAACAGAGGAAAAGAAGGGGCATCTCCAGTCAGGACTTCAGAAACCGGAGAGCAAATGAGCTCTGAAAATCACACCCAGAAATATGCAGAGCACGCGTGCTCAGGGTTGGATTGTCAACAGGACCCACCCGCAACACTTTTCTCATCTAAGATCCTACGAGAAGGGTGAAGCCCAGATGGAGAGGGTTCGTGGTTTCTGACGAGCTCTTTCAAGGCTAGAGCTGAGAGGCCGAGGGCTTCAGAGCCCAGCGAAAGAGCGGGTATGCGAATATCCCCGTGTCACGACTGGGGTTTGTTCGAGGACAACCTTTTCTCAACTTACTGACTTGGACAGGACGAAAACCCCTCAAATTCGCGATTCTGCCATTTCCTCGTAATAATAATGTTTAGAGAGCAAGGAGCTGGGCGTGCAGGACAGCCCTGTCCTGGACCCAGCCACGTCGGTGCCCTTGCTCAGGATCGAACCTGCCCCGAACAAAGGCTTTGGGTCCGTCCCGCAGGAGAAATGTGCAGCCCCGGGAAACTCTGACTCCCCTTCCGACCTGCAGACACATCCGCCCCCTCCGGCCGGCAGACTGGACTCACAGCACCATCAGCCCGTAGGCCTCCGCACGGTGGTCCCGATAGGCTTTCCAGGGCTTGATCTCCAGCCGCTGCGGACAAGCGCCCTCGGAGCGGAACAGCTCTTCCAGCAGACTGGGCGAGCCCAGGTGCACCGAGTCGAAAGAGCCCAGCTTCATCCGGAATATCTGGCCGTACTTCTTGTGGTACTGCACCTGCAGCGGGCGGGCACGCCGCGGGTCAGGGCGCATCCTTCCGGCCCGGGGCGTTTCTGCCTCTCCGCGGTAGCCCAAGACTCAGCGCGCACTGTGCGCCCTGCGCCCCGCTGGGAGTTTGAAGCCACCCGGAGGGCAGAGCAGGAGGCGGAGGGAAGTGGGACGTGGCGAGGTATTTACCAGGGTGTCGTGCTGCTTCTTCAGCCCTCCTTTCCAGAGAATCTGCAGCAGACTGCCCAGCAGGGGCCAGTTGGTGGGCCCGGGCAGGAGCGGGCAGGGGGGCGCCTCGCGCAGCGCAGGGGGCGCGTGCGTCCCCGACGTCTCGGGTCTCCGGGGCTGTTCCAGGCCGCGCCGCTGCAGGAAGGCGGACAGCGAGCGGCTCCTGCTCACGGGGGAGCCCATGGCAGTGCGGAGACGCGGGATGGGAGGGGGCAGGGGCTGGAAAGGGCAGGCGGAGAGGACCGGACGGGCTTCGGGGGCTCGGTGACGCTAAGAGGCAAACCGGGCCGGCAGGTGCGATCGAGGGCACGGGGCTGGGCGGAGAGCAGGACTTTGGCGAGGATGCTCCACACGCGGCGAGGCGCAGCTGACCGCCTAGTGCTGGCCGAGGGGCTGGGGGAGCGCGGCCCGGCTGGTGGCCCGGGGAGGGGAAGGGGCGGCCCGTGAGTCCACCTGCTGGCCTGTGAGGCTGAGGCAGTAGCAGGGATGCTGCGGCCCATGCTCTCCAGCCCGGGCACCTTGTATTTATGGAGACAGAGCCGGCCCTGGGCGGCCAATGAGCTCGCCGGGTAGGGCGGCGGTGGCCGGGCCCGAGGGACGCGGGACGCGGGGGGCGGTGGAAAGGATGGAGTCAGCGGGGTGAGCGAGGGCGCGGAGCCCGGGTGACCGCGCTGCCCGCCGAGCGGAGCGCTGCCGACTCCACCCCGGAGATACCGGGAGCACGCGGGCGAGTTCACGGGGTTTGGCCGAGCGGGTCCCGCCCTCCCCCGACGGCAGCCGGCGCTTGCACAGTCGCGACGCTGAGCGGGCGAGGTCTCCGAGTGCAGCCCGGGAAGGGAAGGGCGGATTTGAGATTTAGCAAGATGCATCCCAATAGGGGAGCTCGCCCCCGGAGGTAGCGAGGGAAAGAACGGCTGGCTGAGTCTGGGATTTCCTGGCTGGCTGCTTGATCTGGGTTGCTATGAGGATTAAATAGCTAATGTCTGTCAAGCGCCTGCGACGGGGTCTGTGCTTGGTCCACACTCAGCAGAGAACCCTCGTCCCTGCCCTCGGGAGATGCGGGAAGGCAGGGCAAGCAGTGACAGCTTAAACTCCCGCTGCTCCCACCCTGGCCTTGAACCCAGCCACCCTGCGTTCCAGTCGCCTGACCGGGTCATTGGCACGCTCGTGCTGGCAAAGCCTTCCGGGAAGTCTCCTGTAAACAGTTTGTTTCGTGAAAACTTTTGTAGCCCAACTCGAGCTCCAAAGCCATCATTTCGGATTTCTCCTTCGAGGTTAATGACTATTTACATCAATAGAAATAACATCCATCGCTACACCTATAATGATTTCTGTCTGATGTATCGTACCTTTGAAAATGTATAGGAAAAAAGAAAAAACAGGTATTCTAATCCAGTGTGGACAAGGTATCTAAAAGTGTACCTTAACTTAGTATAATTGTCTTACCTGTTTTATACTGTCTTTGGACTGTTGGTCTGGTTTTCAATCTGTATGTATGATAATTAACTTTACAAGGCCTTATATATAAATGAATCTGGAAAAATAAAAGGGGGTGGGGGGGGAAAGAGGGGAATTGAAATGTGTTACGTGCATGTACCCACCCCCTGCAGTGAATGTAACCATTATGTACTGCAAATATGTACTAATAAAAGTGGAAAAAATAGCTACATTGTGTATTATAGAGCATATACTATAGGCTTATATAGTCTAATATGTGCTACTTTATATAATAGACTATAAACTATGATTATGCACCATATCTAATATAGTACACAAATGAAAGCTTTCTAGGGCTTATGATAAACTAGACACTGAGCTAGATAATTTTTGTTCTAGACAGAGTCTTGCTAATTTGCTCCTGCTGGCCTCAAATTCATAATCCTCCCGCCTCAGTTTCCTGAATAGCTGAGATTTCAGGTACAAACCACTATGCATAGTTTAAGCTGGAAAGTTTACATCAATTTTCCCATTTTGTTTTCACCTCAGCCCAATGTAAAAAACAGAAAGCAAAAGCAAACACAAAACTTCCTAATGCTTAGAGTTAAATAATTTTCCCAATGTCCTAGACATTATTAATGGCCCAGGAGGGGTTTACTGAGCCCTTAATATAAACATCTGTATGTATCATGTTATTTTACATCATCTTTTCTAAACAGGAATATTTCAGAATATTGGAAATATTCCTAAATGAGAATATTTCCAAGAGGAGTCAGGATGACCATTGCAGTATGGGGGGGGGGGTTGATTCACTTGTTTCATATACACATGGTGGTGAAGAAAAATAGCCTGAAAGAGAAGCTCACCCAGTTTGCCTCTGTGTCCTACTTGTGCCTGGATGTCGTATGTGCTCCATGAGCCATGTGGTGATGACCCACGACTCGCTGCTGTTTTAGCCCATGAGTTATCATTCCCTCATCCTCTGTTTCCTTTCCCTCAGCAGGTTGGATTTGCTAGGCTTTCCTCTGAGCTTAGTGTTAGATCACTTTAGGTGTTCTAAACACCTAAAACACCTAAAAGTACAATTCAGTGAATAGCCATCATAGCCAATAAGAAAATTCAAGGAAATTGGTTTCCTTACTCAGTAGAGAAAGGCTTTAGTAATTTTTGTACTGGATCGCAGAGGGAAGCAGGACTAGTTCTTTGACCGTCCATTGCCTCCCACCCTGTCTGTCCTTGACAAGGTGTAGTTGAGTTGTTAAGGTAAAAGGGACTGTTTTGAGCCCAGCTCCAGAAACTCACCCTTTCTCATTTGGCCTTGTTCTCCCTCACTCCCTGCATGGCCTCTGGGTGTTGTCTGGACAGGGACCCTGCAAGGAATTCCTAACGAGAGGCCTCCAAGCACTTCAGAAATCCCACTCTCTCACCCTCATCATTGGGACGGCCCAGGCCCTCTACCTTGTGCTGCAAAATCTCACCGAATCCTGTGTCATGGATAATTATACTGCACCCCAGGTGACGCGTTCGAGTGTGTATGTGTGTGCACATGTGTGCATGTGTGTAACGAGGATAGGCTGGAGGAGTTCATTGGAGGCCAAGGCTAGTTTCCATGCCCTGGGGAATATGAACCCTTTCAAATATATAGAATGTCCCATAAGTTTATGCTTCAACTGTTGGCTAAACTGGAGTGTGAGTTTGGGATGTTCTTGTTGATTGTGGAAACTGGGAGGATGGACTTCCCAGCTGTTGAGTTGACAGGGCTTATGCAGAATCTCACAGAAAGCTCCAGGATCATGAAAAGAGCAATAGCAAGAAAAGCCAGACTCCTGGGCTGTGATGGGGAAAATGCAGATACGTTCTGGGCATGGTACAGTGTCGAGGAAGCATTCCTTCACAGCATGGCTGTACTGCAGGCATGTACATTCCTGTACTGCAGGCCTTTTTTTTTTTTTCAAACTAACCAGAAAGCAGGCAACTTAGATGTCTCAATTATTACTCATGTGCTTAATTGAATAACTGTAGTTTTGACTCAGGAAACTGTATAATTGAATAAGGCTGAAGAAGCTTGGCAAAAGGTATTGGTGGGTTTAAATCCCAACTCAGCCACTCAGCAGCCAGGTAAACCAATGACAATTTGGTATTTTTCTAAGTCTCAGTTACTTCTCCTCAAAAAGCTCAAATATTGCATGGTTTCCTTTATATGAGAAATGCAAATAAAGAACATAATACAAAAGTGATAATAGAAGAATAATAATAGAAGAATGAAATAGGGAGAAGTTCAAATACTTCCCCAAACTACAAACTCCTTTGTTTAAAAACTATTACAATATACATGCTAACTGGTTTCTTTGGTACGAGTTTATCTTAGTTCATTGAACAGAAAGTCTTCATAGAGTCTGTTCTTTTTTGGGGGTAGGAATCTTTTTGGTTTATGTCCTGAACTCTGAGTAACTACTTTGAGGATAATGATACACAGTATAATAACTATTGTTATTCTCTTATTATTTGATTATGACATTTTTTTATAAAATAAAAAAACTTAAAAAAAGTGGCAATAATGGTAGTACCCATTCCATAGGGTTTTCCTGAGCATGACAAAGCACTGAAAGTCCCTGGCATCGTGTCATAGCTGTAACTGTTATTAAGAACTGCAGAGACTGGGCTCTCAAATAATTAAGATCATAATCGTTATTGGATTTCTCATGGGGCTCTCTACCCAATGACACAAACCTCCTTGAAATTAGAGGCATCATCTCCTTGTTTTTGCCCCTCCCAGAACATATGACATGGTGCTGTTTTAGTTGGCCTGAACCCAATGAGCAAGTAATGGGCAATTGATTATTGAATATTTTCTCTTTTCAAGTGAAAAAGCAAATGACCAGTGTAGTGCTTCCTTTGTTTTCTGAGGATGCTATTGGAAAATTCTGGAGGACTTCACTTGGGTCCCTTATAGAAGGCAGTCCTATTGGACAAAAATAAGAGTCTGAGTTTCAATAGCTTGGGTTGAAACCATGGCTTCATTGCTCGCTGCCTGTGTGGTCTTGGGCGGGCTGTTCAGGGTGTTTAGGTTTGTTGCCACATGGGCAACATTGGAAGTTAGTACAGTAAGTCCCCGACTTAGGAATGAGTCCTGTTCTGGGAGAATTGTTCATAAGTTGGTTTGTTCATAAGCTGACAAAGTCAGTCTTATACAGTGCACCTGTGAAAGCTCACAGCTCAAATGTTTGTAAATCAGGGACTTACTGTACACCGTGTTTCAAGAAAGGCAAGATGAATATTTATTTTTTAAATTTAAAAATTTGTATTGAGTTTATTGATACATTTAGGTATACCTTATGATCATATTCATCACTGATGTACCTGATACATCTTGATTCTTATTTGTCCCCATTCACCTGCCCTCCCTTCAACCCCTCAACCCCATATATACATAAGCTTTGTTTCCATTTTCTCCTTTTTCCTATTTTTTGTTACCAGGGATCAAACTTGGGACCTTGAGCTTATGAGTCAGGCGGCAGAACCATTGAGCTAAATCCCCGGCCCTCCATTTTTTTCCTTCTTACTTTCAATTTTTTTCTTTCTCTTCTTTCCTTTCCCCTGCCCCCAGCCCATTCCCCTTTCCCTTTAAACATTTTAAGATGAATATTTAAAATATCAAGTGAAACACAACCAATGTCTTCACAAAAACCTATTTAGCCTCTCTATTTGCTTGATGAATTCTGAGCAAAATTTGCCCATGTTGGTAAATCAAAATTTTATTACAAGTATGGAAAAAAGTATCTTAAATTCTCCAGAATACAGTACATGGGGAAAAATTTCAGATTCTTCATTAAAAGAGGTACTCTATTTTGCAGGCAATGAAGAATATAGTGTGAATATCCAAGTTAACAAATTTTTATGCTATTACTGCAAGTTATAATTTACAGTATTGAGGAACTACTATTTGTGTTTCAGATGTTTTATGATTTATACCCAGGCAACAATGCTGTAAAGTATCATTTCTCACTTTGCAATGACAAAATTTCACTTCCTTGTACACTTTTAGCCAGACCTGGATTTGAATCTGCCTTGCCCTACTATATATCACCGCTATGACTGCACTATCTTACCTTATCTTCACCTATAAAATGAGAACAATAATACTGGCTCTTATGTATAATTGCAATAGTGTAATTATAATAATGTTGTATATACTAACGTGGCTTAAATTCTAGTTGTCTTTAGGATATCAGCTCCTTGGTGTAAAGGGCTGTCTTTTTCTCTACCATATTCCTAGTACCTGTAAGTAGCCATGGATCAATTTAAATGCTCAATAAATATTTTGAATATACAATAATAGATTGCAAAAATAACAGAGCAAATGTCTTTGTTGTTATCACTGTACTTGTTTAACTGATTCTATAGTTACAGTGAAACACAGCTCATGATAAAAGTTGCGTCTAATTATAGATTTTAAGAGAAGTAATGTCTTTGTTCTTTTATTTTCCAGAGTGTTTAGAAAAGTAGAGGTCTGTATAAAGAAGATATATACTCTTAAGTGACAGATTTTCTCCACATTAATAAACAGGGATAAATGAATTAGTATGTGTAAAATACTTTAACTATGTTTTTTACATGATAAACACTTAATGTTACCCATTATTAATAATTTTGGAAGATACAAATGTAACTGGTCCAG